CTGAGGGGTATGGAGGCTGGAGCGAATGGCCACTGCGCTAGGAGAAGCCCGGGCTCTGGGCCTGCCGGCCTGGTTCCACATTCCACTTGGCTCTAAGCCGTGAGGCACCCCGAAAACCGCACTTCCTCTCTGGGCCTCACCCAGAGACCGAGACTGCTCCAGGGGTTGTCTCCGAGACAGACAAGTTAATCGCGTAGACTGCGCAGAGCAGGCCTCACCCAGACTAAGCCCCAGGACGAAGAATTAGCTATTCTTATCCAGCCCAGTCGCTCTGATGTCTGGACTTTATCCTGAAGAGATAATAGTAATAAAACTCAGAAAGCCAAGACGTTCGTCCAACACGGTTTTATCTACAAGAGCAACACCAGGTTGGAAGCAACGCCGAGTGTGCAGGATCCTAGAGAAAGGAAGATGAGGAGCTGCTACCTCAGGACCTAGCAGCCGCTCCAGCGAGCAGCACGCACACGCACCACACAGGCGCTGAGAACGCAGAGCCATATGTGGCCTGGGGACCTGTGGTTGGGACCACAGGCCGCTGAAGGGGCAGAGGCATGGCTGGCTGGCACAGGGCACAGCAGCTCTAGGCCTGGCCCCTACGGTGGCCCTCGGGAGCCCTGGCTCTCTCCTGCCGGGGTTTTAGCCTGTGGTGTGGGGAGGGCCAGAGTACATTTCCCAGAAACCCAGCTGCCAAAAGGCAGGCACAGCCAAAGTATCCATAGGCAGGAGAAGGAAAAACAAAATATGCTCTCTGTGCCATAGTTTGGATTTTTAGGGGGGTGGAGAGGTACTGGGGATTGAACCCAGAACCTCAGCACCGAGTACATCCTTGCCTCCTTTTTACCATTTTGAGATAGGGGCTTGCTAAATCAGGAAATTACCCAGTCTGAGCTGGCCTCTCGGCCCTCCTGCCTCAGCCTCCCAGAGTGCTGGGACTGTGGGTGCGTGCGAGCACGCCTGACTCAGTTTCATCTGAAATGTCCCCAAGGCCCACATGCAGAAGGGTTGGCCCAGCCTGCAGCGCTGCTGGGGGAAGGAGGGGCCCCAGGAGGTGAGGCGGAGTGGAGGAAGGTGGGCCGCAGGGGCAGGCCCTTGAGGTGCTGGGACCCTCCCCGTCCCCTTGCTCTACTTCCCACCCCCAGGTGCTCCTGCATGCTGCACTGTGCCACCGCAGGTCCAGAGCGCCAGGGCTGGGAACCATGAGGGAACCTCTGAAACCGTGAGCCGACGTAGACCTGCCCTCCTGTGCTTCTGACCCAGCCTTGTGGGTCAGCCTGGTACTCCCAGCCAGCCATGCTGCACCCCACTGGAATACTGTTCAGCCCTGAAGAGGGACGTGGCCCAGACCCAGGCCACCAGGGCTAGGACGGGAATGCCCTCGGCTCATGCGTTGAAAGTTTGGGCCTGGTGCTGTGTTCAGAGACGGGGCGACGGGCCGTGTGGATCGGAACCTCACCAGCGCATCTCTCCACAGATCACTTCACAGCTGTTGGCACCACAGAGTGAAGTGGGGGGAGTCTGCCGGCCCAGCTGAGCGTCTGTTTGAAGGGTCCCCACCCCTGGTTCTGTCTCCTGCCTGGCCACAAGGGGAGCAGCATCGCCTCAAGCCAGGCTGGGGAACGAGCCACTGGACGGACAGCTCCAGAGGATCCCTGGCGCCTGGGCCCGCTCCTCCCAGCTATTTATCGCAGCAACAGGCGGCCGGCTTAGTTCCCAGCCCAGAGAACCTGACCAAGCAACAGACCCCAGGCATAGAGGGACCACGCAAACCGCCTAGAGAAACCACACTTGAGAGACGGAGGGTGGCACGGTGGTGGCCAGGCTGGGAAAGCAGACAGTCTTGAGAAGGGAGGCGACCTTTTCCTGGAAAACAAGAATATGACTGTGCCTCTTGGCAATCAACGCACGCTCTGCGGCGAGGCAGCAGGTTCCACCACGCAGCCTGTTTTCTGTGACATCTGTCTGCATCCTCAGACGTCCTGGCCACTACCTGTGTGCCTGTGCTGGGAAGGCCCACGGCCATGACACCTGGGATTAAAATTCCCACCCCTGGGATGCTGTGAGATCGGGCCTGTGGCTCACACATCTTCATTCCACAAGCATCTCCCAGACCTCAGGAGGCTCGGCCTGGCATCTTGGGGTGACCAGGGTCTCTTCAGCATCTCTCCCCACTCTGCAAGTCATGCTCCCTTTCCCTCCTGGGACCACTGCTCCCTTTGCACTCAGCAGTGGTGGAGCTGTCGATCAAGAGGCTCCGCCTTTCCTGTACTGAGGGGCGGGCATAAGACAGCCACTGGACCAATCAGATACGCCCTTGGAGCTGAGGCCTCCCGCGGTGGGAACCTAGGGTGGGCTCTTCCTAGCAGGCACCTTCCTGCTTTGTAGTTCCCTTCTCATGCGGCCTCCCCCACTTCTGAAATATTCTGTCCTTACCCCTGCTGACCAAGGTCAGTTCCCACTGCTTGCAACCCAAACCCCTAAGCCTGCCCCGAGCTCAACGACAGCCACTGCATGGGTGGGTTTGCTGAGGGCAGTCACAAGCTGTAATGGCAGGGGGCACTGTGGTGGGTGGAGGGCCACATGCTAGGCCAGCCTCTTGGGCCTGTCATGACCCCATTTTGTTGTAGGGAACCGAGGCACATGTTCCAGGTGGCCATGGGGTCTTGGCAGGTGGGTGGTAGGTGGGACACAGTGAGGGGCTGAGCGTGGCTGGGGTGGGGTGCGGTCAGGTCTTCAAGTGGAGGAGGCTGCTAGGACCACTGCACCTGGACTCCTCATCCAAGCTGCCCTGAGTTGCAGGCCGGGCAGGGCGTTGGGTGGGGCAGGAGGTCCAGGCTTCCCACCAACCCACACACCCCTCAGCTGTTTTATGTCTTTCTGGACTTTTCTCTCTGCTCCTGGCTTTTACCTCTCCCCTGGCTTGAGCCCCACTAACCAGACGAGGATGACCCCCAGTGTCTTGGGTCAGCCACCCTAGCCTCCTAGCTGTGCCTGGCTCTTTAGTCCAGGCCTCTGTCTTCTTTACCCTCCCCCTGGCATCGTCTCTGATGGGGAAGCTGAGGCCCAAGAGTATGGGGCAAGAGCCTGGAGGAGGGCTCAGGGTCAGTGTTGGCATTTAGAGCACCTGCTTCATGCAGAGACTAGGGCGGTGCCCTCCCTCTGCAGGGCAGCCCAGGGCCACTGGGTCGCCTCCACAGCACCCACCACCTTACCGCTCCCTCTTGCCCCTGCCCCTGAGCGTGGGGCAGGGCCTCAGCCTTACCTTTCAGGCAAGACAGCTTAAGCCCCATGTCAGCACCGCTGTGGGCCTGTGGAGAGAAAAGAGTACTCAGAGAGGGTACGTGGCTGGCCCCCGCCCTGGGCCTGCGGGGCCCTGCAGGAGCAGTGGCAGAGACCCGCTGTGAGGGCGCAGTGCCTGTGGACTGCACCTGGGCTGCATCTGCTTAAGTGGAGTCTGTGCTGGCCGAAAACCTCCCAGGTGGGCGCCTCAAAGCCAAACACGCCCAAGCCTGATGCATGGGGTCACCCCCGTGAATGGCAGGCCAAGGCTGTAGCCAGGCTGCTGGAAGGAACTAGCACTGCCCAACCTTTCCTGCCAGGGGTCACAGAACAGAGACTCAGGGACAGAGGACCCCGGGCCAGGCCACCAGGGTCGGTGCACTTCCTCCTGCAACCACGGGGCCTTCTCCATGCAGACTCCGGAGATTTAAAGCTCTGAGCTATGAAGGCTGTGGTCCCCGTTCAAGGGGATCAGACTCATGCCCAGCCACGCTCCATGGTGCCCCTGCAACCACAGGCCTTAGAGCATACCTCCCCGACATGCTCCTGACCTCCACCTCCCCCTGCCCTGTGAGGCGGGCCGCACCCCAGGCCACGGATGTGCACAGTGGGGCTCAGCAAAATGGCCCAAGCTGCCCTAGCCACTCAGCTTCTGGAGAGTCCTGGGTCAGACTAGGAGCCACCCCAGCACCCAGGCTGGGGCCACAGCCATGCAGCCTGAGGCTCACAGCCCCCACTGGGAAAGGAGGACGTATTTCTCCATGAGGAGCTCCAGGCCAAGCTGTTCCCTCCTCTCTGGAGGCTCCTGAGTGCCAGCCCTGAGCCAGGCTGGTGGCGGCACATGGGGTGCCATGACCCCCAGGAACCACTGTGTCCCTGCAGAATCCTGAGATGGCACAGGGCCTGCGATGCTCCTGCCCACCTCCCTCACTGCTGGGGAGCCCTGCATTCATTCTGACATGTCTCCTGGCCTCCCTTTTCCCCTAAAGAATCTCTCCATTATTACCAGTGTAGGTGGACCCCAGGCTACTGGGGATCTGTACCCAGATCTGCAGAGGTCAGAGCAGCAGAGAAAAGGGAAACCCCCTCTAGAGGCCAGGGGTGAGCGGCAGTCCCTGAGCAGAGGGCACTGGTCAGCCTGATAGCATTCCTAGAGGCAGCAGGTGTAGGTGGTGCAGGGTTGGAGGCTTAGGGGATGGCCCACCAGAGGGGCCTGGTAGTGCAGGCTGGGGCAGGCAGAAGCCACAGGTGAGCTGGCCCTGGGGATCTCGGAGGCATGCCTGTGTTATTCTGGGGACACTGAGGATCAGGTCTGCTGGGCAGGAAGGGGGCATCTGGGAACTAAAGGGGTCCCTGAGCCCCACACCTGTTGGCTATGGTGGAGGAGGGAAGCACTGAAGGCCACCCAGGAGCCCCTGGGGGACCTGTGTATGGTGACAGCTGGGAAGGAGGCGGGCAGGCCTGGATGTAGGCGGCAGAGCTGCAGGACAGCTATGTGGCACATGAAGAACTGGCTGGGGGGCCAGGGGAGAGAAGCGGGAAAGGAGGCTGAGCCTGGGGAGCCGGCGCAGGCGGCGGTGTGGAAGGGTGAGGCTGGCACAAGCCGGGGTGCTGTTCTGGGGCAGTCAAGGAACCCAGCTCCAGGCTGGGCCTACAGCAGTTAAGGGCGCCAGTGAGGAGGGGGTGAGCGAGGTTCCAGGCCTTGCTGGTGCAGAATCTACATGCTCGCCACAGCTGACCCAGGCACATGACCACAGGTCACTCTCAAAACCTGGGCTTGCTTGGGTCCTGCCTCCCAGTTTTGTGGTAACTGGTCTGTGGGGTGGCTGGGCCCTGGGATTTTAAAAACTAGGGGTTGCTAACATGCAGGGTGAGGTCTGAGGCCTTCTAGGGAGGATAATGGGGCTGAGGCTGGAGGCAGTGGGGCAGTGGGGCCCAAGGGCCACGGGGGGTACAGCTGGCATCCTTCCAGAGTCCCTGCTGCCAGCACCATGTGGAGGTGCCTTGCGTGCAGCATGCTTTGCCCACTCTTGTAGCAATGGCGGGGGGGGGGGACTTGCTCCTGTCCTCATTCTTCAGGGAAGAAACCAGAGTTGGTCTGTACAGGGCCGTACAGGCTCCAAGTGACAGAACAGGGACTCAAACTCAGGATTTAGGACCAGGAGCCATTTCCAATCTCCAGGCAGAACTGGATATCCAGGAGTCACAAGAGGTACAGAGACTGGGGTGAGGGGGTGTGCCGGGCTCCTCTGTTCCCCGAGCTGGAGCTCCATCCTGCAGCCCACAGACCTGACCCAAGACGTCACCAAGCTGCTGGGTCTGCAGCCCACTCTCCCCTGTCTGGGTGAAGACTTGAGTTCAGGGCTGGTGTGGAGCTCAGCGGCACAGTGCTTGCCCACCATGCACAAGCTCCTGAGACAGTAGATTTCAGCTCAGCAACAGGTTTAATGCACACCCCAGCCCAGCGGTCTATGCTGATGGCCCGAAGGCTGAGCCAGGCCTGGAGCCCGCTGTAGGAAGAGGCCCGCCAGGCACAGGCAGAATGGCAGGGACGTGCAGTGGGGCAAGGGCCTCAGCAGAGCTGCAAGACAAAGCTCACCCACACTTGCCTGTTTGAAAAGTAAAGAAGTGGCCAAAAGAAAAGAGGCATCTTGTGGACAGTGTGGGGTCAAGGTGGCATCTCTTCATTTTGGTCACTGCTGTGTTTCATAGGGGACAGTCCTGCAGCCCTGAGGTCTAGACACGCTGACGTGTCTCAGGCCAAGACAGCATTTCTGCCACTTAACTCTCCACAGTTCAGAAAGAAAACTAGGTCCACACGTGTACAGCGGGCGGGCCTGGCCGGGTAACCCGGTCCATCTCCACAAAGGGTGAGCAGGGGGACTTGGACTCCTGCAATTTTTCTGAGTTGGAAACTACTTTCAGAATTAAGGTCCCAGCACTCAGGAGGTTGAACCAGAAGGATGTCTGTGAGTTTGAGACTAGCCTGGAG